CAGCAGCCTGTGGACAAGTTGGTTTTCTGTATTGCATAGAAATCCCTTCAGTTACCTGCAATGGAGCAGCTGTTTTTGTATGTGAAAGATACACAACAGAAACAAAAATAATTGCTTTCTAGTGTGAGTATAAGTTCCATGGGAACACCCCTCTATACACAGCATCCCCAGGTCTGACAGCTCATCTGGCTTCACTGATGCAATCAGGAAAACCCCTCAGTCCCCCCACAGTGCTCTGCAGTTCTCAACCACTCTGTGTGCTATTGCTGAGGGACACAGGAGGAAGAGCGAAGGTGCAGATTCCTCTGTCATTCTGTCACCTAGGGGATCCAAGGAAACAAGAGCCATCATTTCCTTTGCTGACTCAATAGCCTATGGATGGCTAGGGTCCCTAGTTTGCTTTGAAAGAGACATGCTAGGGTTTCAAAACCAGTTCTGCAGTGTCTTCCTGAAATGATGCTGATTATCACCTTCAAAAGAGAGTTACACAGTAAAATGATTTTTGATGAAAAAAATTTTTAGGGAAGTAAATACTTTTTTTTATATTTAAACTTCAGGGGCCAGTTTCCACCCCCCCCCCCATCTGATAACAGATGTTTTAGCTCAGAGTCATCTGCCATTTATTAGTTTGGACCACACATGTTGTTCTGTTACTGCTTATCAGCAAGGCATGGGAGGGTCTTCTTTGGATGTGAGAATGACTTCTTCCTCCTCTGAATGCCTTTTGCACCACGAGCTTGCATGTAACTATATTAATCTAAATCTTCTGGGGCAAGGACTGTTGGTCTTGCTTTTTACCATCTTAGTTTATGCTTCCCCAGGAGCAGATCCTGGAAGAAGGATTCAAGTGCAAGTAATTCATTTAAGAGGTGATCAAAAGAAAACTGGTAGGGGAGGGAGGCAAAGAAGGTAAGTTAGGAAACAAATTTAAAAATTTCCCCCCCAAACCCCTACCATGTGGAGCTTAATCCCACTGGGGTATTCTGGAAAACAGGATATAACATAAATCTCAGGGTTACTCCACTTGAGGACTGAGGAAACTGGGATATTTATATGCCAATTTCCATCAGTAGTTGGCTGAAGCCTGATCCTATTATACATTAAGTGACTATCCATATGGAAAGTATTGAATATCTGTCCTTACCTCATTCCACACAATTAAAAGCAAGAAGGAACATATACCTAGATGTAAAAGTTCAAAACATGAAGTTTCTAGAAGAAAATTTTCAAAGAATATGTGTACATCTTTAGAGTCAGTAAGATTCTTTTAGTCAGAATGTAACACGCACACACACACACACCAAAAAAACAAAAAAACAAAAAAAAACAAACCTTGACAATTTAAGAAAGCAGTTCATCAAAATTAAATATTTGCTTTTTGCAAACATTGTTGAGAAAATGAATAGGCAAATCAGAATGAGAAAGTATTTTCATTATAAATATCTAACAAAGGACTGGTATCTAAAATATATAAAGAATTTCTACAAATAAATAATGGTAAAAGATTTGAAAACATTTCACAATCTAAGATACACAAATGGCCAATAAGCATCTGAAATGGAACTCAACATGATTCATCATCAGGGAAATGCAAATTAAGATCACTATGAGAAATCACTGCACACTCACCAGAGTGGCTAAAATTAAAGATGACAATGCAAATGTCACCCACTATGTAGAACAACTGGAACTCCCATGTTTTGCTCATGGCAGTACAAAATGGTACAACCACTACTGGAGAACTCTTTGGAAGTTTTTTTTTTAAATAAGAAATTAAAATTAAAATAAGAAATAAGAAATTAAATATATATCTTTCTAGGTCCCAGAAATTCCATTTGTATGTACTTATTGAAAACAAATGCCAGTGCATATCTACAAAACAGACTTGTACAAGAATGTTCATAACAGCTTAAATAAAAACACATTGAAAAATGATATAGATGTCCACCAACAGGTGACAAGCAAATTGTGAAACAGTCATACACTAGAATACTATTCAGCATTAATAAAGAATGAACAGGGGCTGGGGCTGGGGCTCAGTGGTAGCACACTTGCCTGGTATGTGTGAGGCATTGGGTTTGATTCTCAGCAAGATGTATAAATAAAAAAAAAAATAAAGATCTATCACCAACTAAAAAATATTTTTTTAAAAAAGAAAGAATGAACAATTGATATAAAATGAATGGAGCTAAAAGAAAAAATTACACTGAGCAAAGAAGCAGATATAAATGGGTACATTCTGTATGGTTTCAAATATAAAGACCCAGGACAGGAAAGCTTAACTGTGTGATAAAAATCAGACCAGTGGTTGTCCTTGTTGGGTCGGGGGTTAACTGAAGGGAGGTACTTACATGAGAATTTGGGGGGTTTTAGAAATGCTCTATATCTTATTTTGTATGATGGTTACATGAGTGTATATAAATGTCAAAACTCATAGCTGAGGCTGGGGTTGTGGCTCAGTGGTAGAGTACTCACCTAGCATGTGCGAGGCCCTGGGTTCGAGCCTCAGCACCACATAAAAGTAAAGGTATTGTGTCCAACTATAACTAAAAAATAAAAATAAATAAAAAATAAAAACCATTAAAAAACTCATAGCTGAACATTTGAGATCTGTGCTATTTATTTATTTATAGTGCTGGGGATTGAACCCAGGGCCTTGTGCATGTGAGGTGAGCACTCTACCAACTGAGCTATATCCCCAGCACTGTGCTTTGTATTGTATGAAGTTGTACCTTAATAAATATTACAGTTCATTTTTTAAAAAAGAACAGATATTGAACATTAAAAATATGAAGTGATTTGTTAAGTGTTTTCCCCCACCCCATCCCACCCCTACAGTGTAAGCTATAGGCGGGCAGAAGCTCTGTTTTATTCTCTACAGTATCCCCAGTGTCTTGTACATTGCTTAGGTCCCCTTAAGGGTTGTTAATATTATAAATTTGTATGAGTCTCCGTGGATTGAGCAGTGGCTTTATCATATCTCCCTTTGCAGACATTACCTGTTCTTGGCAGACACTGGTGGCCCCAGAAGCTTGAGTACAGGTGCATTGTCTAGGAAGAGAGCTTGCAGGTGGGAACCCAGCAGGGCCCTGGGTGTCCTTGGGCACTGACAGGGTCCCAACTGTGAGCACCATCTGCTCCTGTGAAGGGTGTCTGACAGCAGCTGCAGCCCTGGACCTGGAAGGTGAGTGCCTCTGAGACCCAATGTCAGGCTCCCATTCCCATCCTCCCTTCCTATAGCAAGCCCATGGAAAGTCACTTTAACCCTGGAAACAGAAAGTATCAACACATGTACTACTTTGCAATTTACCAAGTGTTTTCCCATGTATGTTCTTATTTTATCCTCTCAATGACTCTGAAAGATTAATGATTTAATAACCTTATTTTACAAAGAAGTTAAATGTCTTCTCCAAGGTCACACAGCTGGCAAGTGACAGACTTGGGATTCCAACCAAGCTTTTAACCATGTCCTACTATATTAAGTACAGTGTTGCTGTGTCATTTAAGGACCTTCAGAAGAAGTTTCTGAAATCTGACTCCTTGGGTAAGCTTTGCTGGACTAATGAAAAGATAAGATAACAAACTCCCCTTGCCTTTAATCCAACTTATTCCATATGCCACTGAGCAATTAACTGGACTACCACTAGGATAGTGTCACTCCCCTGTCCATATTTTCCACATTTCTCACTACCTACCATGAGAAATCCATGCTCCTTAGCTGCTGTTCCATAATCTTTTGCCCCAACTCACCTTTGTAATCCCCTCTTTCTTAAAAAACAGCTTTATGTTCTTTCTAGTTATGTCATTATCCTCATCTCTGCAACTTTGCTCCTCACCTCCCCCTGCATCAGGAATACCAGTTTCATCCATCCCTTGGGAAATCTCACCCTTCAAGTCCTAACTCAAATACCACTGCATTCCCAGTTGGTAGATTTTTACTTTATCTGAATCCTTGGAGTTCATGAACTGTCAGGTATCATTAAAGTGTTTATACCTTGTTTTGTTTTCCTATTAGATCCTGAGGTCCCAGAAGTGAGATGGATACCTTACCTCTTTCTATAACCAGATGCTGACTGACATAGTTATTTGCACACTGTGGATACATGATGCTTTGTAGAGTGAATAAATTACCACCTTTCCAAACATTGTCTATGCATTTAATATACTTTGGTGTGCATAGTTTAAAAAATAGTTTGTATTTTATCTTATATTTGGTTAACATAGCCACCACCCTCTGTATACTTTGCTTCTGACTTGACACAGACTCTGAATGCCTAAATTCTTTGCAAGTTGGGGCTGACATTTGGGAGAAATTGTGGAATTCGCAGTTCTACTCTGGCTCTGGCATTCACTCACTGTGTAACCTTGGATAAATCACGTCTACTCTCTGGACCTTATTTTGTCTCCCTCTATTCCATGGGGGTAACACTCCCCATTTTGCTTCTTCAGTTCACCACAAGGTTATTGGAAGGTAAATGAAATAACAGATGTAGAAGTGCTTGGTCCACTATAAATCACACAGAAATGTCGTTTAGTTGTACCTGCTGCTTTTGTTGCGGGCCGCCCCCTACCCATCTGCTCCTTTCTTGGGATGAAAAAAAAAATGACAGTCTGGGGCAGTATTACAGGGGGAACAAAATGATGAGAAAATAAATCCACTCCTTGAATGGCTGGTAGAACTGGGGCTGTTATGGTGAGGCTGGAATACTGTCATCTGAAAGGCTGCTGCAAAGAGGGAAACCCTTGTACAGGCAGCCTCAGGGATGGGGCTTGGCCAGGGTACAGCAGTCACGAGGAGTCAGCCAGTTTGCAAAATTTCCCCAAGAGTCAGAGCTGTTGGACAGTGACATGGGCTGCCTGAGGGAAGGTAAGGGCCCCATTCCATTGCTGCAGCCGCAAGACCTACTATCATATAAGTATCACAGAAATCGAGATCATTTCTGCTGGGCACGTATGGAGAAAAGAGACCCTAAGGCCTTAAGTACCCTCTAGGAGAGCATCCTGAGCCTGCCTATTGGCTTCTGCTGAGGGGAAGGGTGGGTCTTGGATTGCTTCGCTTTCTGATTGGCTAGCTGTACAGATTGGCAGGTCCCAGCAGGCTATGCGTGATAGACCCAGACATGGCGCAGGCGGGAAAAGTGGCCTTGGGCCTTGGCCTTCCGGGAGGAGAAGCTGCACAGTGGCCACTGCAGCGGTATGGCCGATTCATGCTGTTGGGTACCGGAGAGCCACCTGGTCCTGGCTCAGAAGTTGAGCAGAGCGCTTCCACCACGTGGAAGGTGAGGCCAAAATTCAGGCATGGCTGCCTGCTCACACCCCGGGGGAGGCAGTATCATGACCAGTGGTCGCAAAAGATAGGAGGAGAGGACACAGAAGGACAGGCATGTTGAGGAATGGGCAGGCCGACAGCTTACATAAGATGTGTGTGTAGTAATAAGCATAATTGGAATCCACTATAATCTCAAAATAATTATGCAAGGGAATAGTAAACATTCTTATATTAAACAAGTTATTGAGCTTCAGACATATGCTTAGACTCTATTCAGGGTGCTACGGTTCTAGCAATGAGCAAGATATAAATTGATGTTTTTAGTTTAGAGGAGGACATATATATCCAAATAACTATGTAAATTATGGAAGTGAAGTTTGAATCATCCATAACCAAGTTGTCATGCTCTTTGTTACTCAAGCACTCACACAGAACTAAATTTGAATTTTAGCTTTCTATGTGCCGTGTATATGTGTGTGCCGAGCCCTGGCCCAACAGGTATTGACCCAGGGCTTCCTGCCCTGCATGCTAAATACTTGCTTTACCATTGAGCCACATTGCCAGTCCCTGAGTTCAAACTTTGCCACTAATCTCCATGTACTTGATTAAGCCACTTAACCTCTGTATCTTGTTTATCCTAAAATAAAAATATCTTAATATCATCTTAATAACAGAGAGAAAACAGATAATAGATAGCAGTCCTATCTTATAGGATTGTTTTGAGAATTAAATCACTAATATACATCAATTACCTAAAATGGTGCCTAGTATATATTAAGTTTTCTGAGGGCTTGCTGTCATTATTTTTTGGTCTGGTGGTATGTTTTAACACCATCGATTACCTGTCATTCAGTTACCTTGGTTTGATTGATTGTTTGATGTGGACCCTGGGGTTTTGGATTATGGACACACACCTTATAAAAGATGCGTGTGCATGTGTGTACATGTTTTGTGTATTTTGGACAACAGTAAGTAAAAGAAGAAAACAGATATTCTAGGTAGAAGACACAACATGCGGAAAGGCTCCACACTTGGAAAAAAAAATCTCAACATTATAATGTTTAGAGAGAAGGCCAATAGGTGTTTAGGAAACAAAGGGAATGATAGCGTGAGGTGAGGCTTTCTGGTGAGGCAGGCAGATGTCTTGTGAATATTATCTAAAAACCAATAAGAAACCACTGAAAAGATTTAAGCAGGAGCATTTTCATCTCAAAGATCACTCTGGCTGCAGTGTGGGGGAGTATGAGTGGATTCAGGTAGATCATATAGAATGTTGTTGCAGTGTTGTAGACCAGAGATGGTAATGGCTTAGACCTGGGGATGGCAGTAGAGATGGGGAAATTGGATATGTATTTTAGAGACCAAAAATGATAGGATTTGATGATGAATTGTTTGTGAGTGGTGAAATTAAAGAACTGCAGTGTTTCTGGCAGAAGCAACTTGGTAAACTGTTGGGAAATAGAAGCAATGGAGGAGAAACAGTGAGGGAAAGATCCAGGACTTCGATTTTGAATGCATTGAGTTTAATGTTTATTAAGCACCCAACTGTAGGTAGTTGAATATACTGTTCTGGATTTAGAAGACAGATCTGGGCTAAAGATGTGAAGGTGTGAGTTAGTAGCATAAAGGTGATATTTATAGCCTGGGGTCACATGAGATTCCAGAACCAAACCCCAAGGTAGTCCAACATCTGTAGGTCAGGTAGAGAGGCTATAGCCCCCATAGAAGATTGACAAGGGACAGAGAGTTGGGAAACACCCAGGAAAATAAAGGTTCATCAGTGCTAACGAGTTATTTCAAGGAGAGAATGACTTATTAACTTTGTTGAATACTGCAAAATGAAGAAAATAATGACTAAAGGATGTCCATTGCATTTAGCCCCATGATGGCCCTTACAGTCTTTGCCAAGAGAAGCTTCAGTGGAGTGAAGGGAGTAGAAGCCAATAGGAGTGGACTGAAGAGTGAGGAAATGAAGTCAAAGTACATAGACAATTCTAAGAGGTTTGGCTTTGAATGTGAGTAGAGATAGGGCATCACTTTCTAGAATATTAGAATAAAGAACTCTCCTAAAAGCTTGAAATCAATGGACCTATTAAAAAAAACATTAAATACCTAGTTGTGCTCTCGTGGAACTTTGTGTACTGAAAAATGATATAGTCTGAAAATACAAAAATGGATGAGAAAGAGTTAAATTCAAGGATGATGGATCTATAATTGAATCTTATAAAAGAGCTGTGTTTGTTTGAGGACATTTAACTTTTGAGACTGCTCCAATAGGTTTCTTAATAACTTAAGACTTTTTAACCCTTTCTTCTAAGACATCTGGTTTGGGTGCACTGTCTATGAAGCTGGGTAACTCTTACATTGCAAACCAGAAGCCATGGACATTTGACCATTTTAAGAAATTGATTGTTATTACATTTGTTTCCCTTTGCAAAGCTCTTCATAATTGTTTAGAAGGAATAGCACTTTTCAGCAGTTTTCAAATGTTTGGCATGAAGCCATGGCCACAGTGACAAGAGATGAAGCTGGCTTTTGCAGAGCTTTTGAAAACTGAACATTTGTACCTTCCTTTGAATCTGGGCTGAACCATCCTGCCCGCTGTGATCAGTTTCAGCTTAGGTTTGTCATTTTTTAAAATGAAAGAGAAATAAGATTTGTTCTATTTTATGGACACTGTGACTGTTGTGCAGTAATAATAATAAAAATGATGCCATCTAAAGACCTGTACTCTCTCAAGTCCCATGTGAATTTCTTATTTTAAAAATATGTGGTATCTGCAGTAAAAATATATGTTAGGTAAAGCACAGAAATATATTATAGTGGAAGATAGAATCATTCTGGTAATTTTTTTTGTAATTTTTTTCTCTAAAGAAATTTCGGGTTCAACCTTGGATAAACCTATTTTGAATTTTTTCTTTTTTTCTCCCCAAATTATGGAGAAAATCTCTTCTCCTGGCTCTGTACTATATAGTTGCTTAATTATAGAGAAGACTTTCATCACACTGGCCACATGCTAAGACAAAAATGTCAACCCAAGAGAAAAAAATGAATAGTATAACAAGACTTTTAAGACTTGAAGTCCTAGTTGAGGGATAAGATCAAGTCTAAGATGTAAAGATTCATACACACACACACACATACACACATATGTGTATATATTGATATCTAGCATATATATAATTTACTTCTCTGAATTGAATTATTCTTATTAATAAACAAATAAACTTTTCTGACAGTTAAAAAAAAAAGGTGAGAAAAAAATACCCCACAACAGTTTACTGTATTGTGCATAGAAATCATCTAAGGATTTTGTTAAAAATGCAAATTCTGACTCAGTCAGAATAGATTTGGTATGGGGAATAGGATTCTGTAGTTCTAACAAACTCCCAGGTGACACTGATGCTGTTGGTTCGAGGACCATGCTTTGAGCAATGGGGGTCTAGAGGACCTTGGATGAAGTGGGAAGCCATCTAATAAAATGAATTTATGGAGTTAGGGTAAGTTAATCAGATTCATAGTGAATATGCAGATATTTTATTAATAAGGTTAATATTTAAACCATCTGAAGTCATTTAAGTGGAATGAGCAAATGAAATACAAACTTGAACTTGATTTTTGTTCCTTACATCTGTTGGCCCAGCCTTTCTGAAATGATTATCATAATAACAGATTGGTCCATTTTATGTATTTTATGTCTGAATATAATTTAGTGTACTAATTTGAGAATAATTTTGAAAGGTGATGTTAATTGCAGGTTGCTTTTAAATTAAAATTTTACCATGTTTTTCAGGTTCCAAGTATTCCTCAGACATGCCCTAATTGGTTGAACCTGACAACTTCTTAAGATTAATTTTTCCTTTCAAAGAGAAAAAAATAATTCTTTAATTTTTATAGGAAGAACTTAAAATAATTGCCCTACTTAGAAATGAAGAAATAGAATATGAAGTTTGTACTTAACTTTTAAATGTGGGTTCAACATAAGATATACTTTGGGTTCTTTTTTTCCCTTTTGTATGCCTAGTGTCTGTAAACTACCCAGCAAATGATAGGCACTTAGTAAATGTTTTTGCATGTGTGTATGGTAACTTTTCTTATGATAATGTGATATTATGAAATGATAGTTACTATTTATTGTTTGTTTTGGCTTATTTATTACAGTAGCCCTGTGAAGCAAATATTATTATATCCATCTTACAGATAAATGAACTAAAACATGGAGAGGTTCAATGGCTTTTCCAGGAATACAGAGATAACTTGGGAAGAAATAATTCAGATCCTGGTTTTCCTGTCTCAAAAACTTGCGCTTTTAATTATTATGCTGCTTGCCTTAGAAGTGTTAATATTTCATATGGGGAATAGCAGTGAAATGATGTGGAGGAGGAATTTTGAGATTAGCACACAGGGTGAAAATGACAAAGATGACAATTTTGTTTTTGTTTATAAGGAAAATTTAAGATTCAGTAAAATTCCAAGGAAATTACTCTTTAAAATACTAAAATAATAGTTCTTTGCATGCCTGATGACTTTTGATTGGATCCCTATTGTGAATTTTCCCTTGTTGGGTACAGGATATTTCTGTATTCCTATAAATATTCTTAAGCTTTTTTTTCTGGGATAGGTTACTTGGAAACAGTTGGATCCTTTCAAGTCTTGCTTTTAAACTGTGTCAGGTGGGACCAGAGCAGTACTTGGTCTAGGGCTAATTTTTTTTCCCCATTCCTGAGGCAGAACTCTTTATTTCACTCAGTGCCCCATAAATTAAGAGGCTTTTTTGTACTTGGTGATCAGAACAGGTTTTATTCCCTACCCTGTGTGAGTGCTAGGGATTGTTTCCTTAAATCCTTTCAGTCGATTCTTTCCTCAGCCTCTGAGTTTCCTCACAAATAAATGCTCATCTGTACTCAGCTGAAGGGTGGAGCTTTACAAGCATCTGAAGTTCACTCTGAATGCCACTCTCTCCTATCTGGTATTCTGTCCTGCAAACTCTAGCCTCTCTGACCTCCTTGA